CGGCGTGCCTGCTGGGCTCCGGTGACGCGGTGCCGGGCTCCCGGGGTTGCACCAGCTCTGGAAGGGCTGCACCCTGCCGCCCCCCGGACCACAGACCTTGGTGGGTGGCAAGTGTGGGCTGCGCCCCATGGAGAGGCGATCGGCAGCACCGATGGCATGGAGCTGGGGATGGCACAGAGGAGTGCCGGGGAGCAAGCCACCCATGGCGAGAACAGCCCATTTCACACCCTGGTCCCTGGAGAACACTGCCATCCCCCATGCCAGACCCCGCTCGGGGTGAGCACCTGCTCTCCCATAGCCCCTGAGCCCAGGGCACCTTTGCAGGTGCTCGTAAACTTTTTCTGCCCAGGGGCCAGAGATGTCAAGGCTCTCCCAGGCTTGGAGGGGGCTGCCTGAGGCTTGCTGGGGGCCGGCCCCCCTCTGCGGGCTCTGGGAAGGTTCACAAGCCAGCAAATCCTGCTGCAAGCTGTCCTGGATGAGACCCATGTGAGGTACCCTTGAGTGTCCAGGACACCCAGAGCTCGGGACAGCATGGGTCTCCAGTGCCAGGCATATCCCACCCAGGGGATGTGGTTTGGGAGCACTACGTGTTGGATGGGGTCAGCGCTAGCCGCATCCATGGTGCCAAGCGGCAGCCCTAGGTTGGAGCTGGGGGTCCGCAGCCCAGCCGGCTGGGTGCTCCCAGGCTTTGTCCCGTGCTTCCCGGAGCTCTCTCCTCCCTTCCTCGGCTGGGTTGCACGCTCTGCTGCCTCTGTAAACTGAGCCTTGTGACTTACGGTGGGGCTTGGCCACTTCTCTGCCCCCACACACCCTACGTGGTGTTTTCCCAGTGCTCCTTGTTCAAAGGATGCCCTGGGATCCCATCTCCCCTGCCTGCCCCCTCCCCAGCTTGGTCTCGGCTCCCCTCTCTGGGCTGGCCACTCCGCCCCTGTGGTTGGGCCACTCCGCAAGCCCCAGCGGGTGGACGTGGTGGTGTGCGGCGTGACCCAGGTGGGAGGACGAGGATGGAGGGTTCCGGGAGCCCTGCTTGTCTGGCGGGTCTGGGGGCACGGCTCCAGTTGCCTGTACCCTCCCCTGCAGACAGGCAAGCTGTTCTGTGGGCTATTCCCACCCCTCTCCTTGCGTGTCTGCGATGGGGTTTGCCTGCTGCCATGTGCCAGGCAGCGCTGGGGCCCTCCTGGTTATTTTGGCATGTTACTGCAGCCCTTTCTCCCTCTGTAGCCCGGGCTTAGGGTTCAGCCTGACTGCCCAGCCATGATGCTGCTCCCACTGCTCCTGGAGGTCACCCTGCTGCAGCTGGCCAGCGGCTCCCACCACCACTACAATGGTTTCTACTACAACCACATCATGAACGACAAGGGCAATGGGCAGGAGAAAGGTATATCTGGGATTGGCGGGGCTGGCAGGTTGGTGTAAGGGGCTGAAGTACCCCCCACCCCGGACTCTGGGATGGAGCTGGAACCCATCTCTTGGGGGGAGGATGTAGGGCCCAGAGGAACAGGCAGGGGTGCTCTAGGGATACTCATGGGATATTCATGGGATGTTCAGACAGAAGAGAAGGTGGAGGGAGGGACTGAGCAGAGCAGCTGCAGGGAGATTTATGGATGCTGCCAAGCCCTGGATCCCGACCTGCCCATCACACCTTCCCTCCCTGTCTCCAGTGGTTTATTTCAACGAGGTCAAACTGGTGGTGGAGACCCCCAAAGACCCTGTCTACAGCTCCAATGGTGCCAATGTCACCCTGCCCTGCCACTACCGCTACGAGCCTGACCTGGAAGCCAAGCACAAGATCCGCATCAAGTGGTCCAAGCTGCGGGACGACTACACCAAGGAGCAGGATGTGCTGGTGGCCATTGGCAAGACCATTGTGGCCTTTGGGGACTTCCGGGGCCGCGCTCACCTTCGCCACCCTGGCCGGCACGAGGCCTCGCTGGTCATCAGTGATGTGCGCTTGCAGGATGATGGCAAATACCGCTGTGAGGTCATCGATGGGCTGGAGGATGAGAGCAATGTGGTGGACCTCCGGCTACAAGGTGGGGACACAGTGGGGACTGCCTGACCCCCCTGTGCCAAGAGTAGCAAGGCAGGAGGGGGGTCGGGAAGTGCAGTTGTGGGCAGAAAGGGGCTTGGATGCTGGTGTGATGGGGTGGTGACTTGGGGCTCTCTGACTGTGGGGTCTCGGCAGCGAGTGAGCCTGGAGCAGGCTGCCCAGCTGGGATGCTGGGGAGAGGCTACTGTGGGGTCAGAGTTGGGGTTGCCCCTGTGGCTGCGGCATTTCCTGCCTCTACCCACCCACCTTCCCCTTGTGCTGCATCATTTGCAGCCACCCCCTCGCCTCCTGGCTCTGGGTGTCCCCATACAACTTGTGCTGAACCTTAGTGATTGGCCCAACCCTTCTTGCTCACTTGCCATGAGGGACCTGACTCAGCCCTGGCTTTGCTGCCAAGCTCAGAGCTGGGGAAACATCTCCTTTGCTGTGCCTTTGGCCCCCACACCCTCCCTCCCATGGTATCTTGTCCCCACCAGTCCTGTGACTGTGGTCCATCGTGGTGGTGCACATGTTCCCGTGGTCCGTCCATCCCTGTGACAGGGGTCTGTCCTTTCCCATGCTGGTGGTCCATGTGTCCCTGTGATCCTGGCCCGTACATCCTTGTAATCCTGGTCCTTGTATCCCTGTTCCTGTAGCTCATGAATCCCCATGATGATGGTTGCTCCATCCCCACAGAGGTGGTCTGTGCCTCCCTAGGACCACTGTCTGTGTGTCCCCAGGGCCGTGGTCCGTATGTCCCTGTGGTGGTGGTCCCAGCATCCCTGTTACCGTAGTCTGTGCATCCCTGTGTGTACTGGTGCTCTCCCCACGAGGGTGGTCCTTGTGTCCCCAGGACCAAGGCCCTATGTTCCTGTGCCACCAGATGTCGCTGGCAACTCACCGCTGGCAGCTGCGTGCCCGCAGCAGCCCCAGCGACCCGGCACTCCTGAGCCTTGGGCTGTGCCAACCTGGGGTGCTCCCTGTCCCAGAGCCTGAATTTGGGATGGGTTGGGGACCCCTGCGGCTCCTGCTGGGCCAGACCGGGTGGGTGGGCTGCCCGCGGAGCCGGCTGAGTGCCCCATCTGCCCCCAGGCATCGTGTTCCCCTACCAGCCTCCCCGCGGGCAGTACAGACTCAACTTCCACGAAGCCAAGCGAGCGTGCCAGGACCAAGGCGCCATCCTCGCCACCTTCAACCAGCTCTTCCAGGCCTGGAGCGAGGGGCTGGACTGGTGCAATGCGGGCTGGCTGGCTGACGGCACCGTTCAGTACCCCATCCGCCTGCCCCGCAAGCCCTGTGGTGGGCTGCACCTCGCCCCGGGCATCCGCAGCTACGGCCCACGCCACCAGCACCTGCACCGCTTTGATGCCTTCTGCTTCTCCTCTGGGCTCAGAGGTGGGTACTGGGCCAGAGGCTGGGGGGGTGGGCTCCCAGGGAAGATGCTCTGCCCAATCAGTGGCATCCCATGTCCTCCTTAGGGCTCAGGGCTCAGCTTTGGGGACGATAGCCCAAGGAGGGATGCTCCAGATGCTGCTTATTGCTGATGCTTCCGTCTCCCTCCTAGGAGAGGTTTTCTACCTGGACCACCCAGCCAGGATGACGCTGGAGGAGGCCAAGCAGAGCTGCCAGGACGTGGGGGCTGAGATTGCCCGGGTGGGGCAGCTCTACTCTGCCTGGAAGTTCCTGGGGCTGGACCGCTGCGATGCCGGCTGGCTGGCGGATGGCAGTGTCCGCTACCCCATTGTGAAGCCCCGGGCCAACTGCGGCCCTGAGGAGCCTGGTGTCCGCAGCTTCGGCTTTCCCAGCAAGGGCCGGTTTGGGGTCTTCTGCTACAAGGAGAGATAAGGAGCTGGGAAGGCTTCTTGGCCAGAGGATGTTTCCAGCCTGACGGTGTCGGGTGTTTCCCAGGGCTGTTTTGGGGGTGACTTGGGGGAGTCAGGATAGGGGGAGAGGCTTCTTTTTGTTTTATTTCATTTCCTTCCTTTGTATTTTCTACCCCTTGCTCAGCAGCTGGCACGTGCAGCTGCTCAGGGCAGTGTCGCTGGTGCAGTGTGGGACCATCCCTGGCATGGGGTGTGTACGAGGATGATCCCCATGGGCTGCTGCCACGCTGCTTGACCCCTGCCACTGCGTGGGTGGTGGCCCTTTCCCGCGGTGGCTGTGTGTCACAGGCACCTGCCTGCCCCTCCAGGCTGGTCCTGTCCCTGAGCTCGTGGGGGTGGGAGTGAGGTGAGGTTGGGTTTGGCCAGAGGCAGAGAGTGGGTGTCTGCATTGTATCCCAGCCCCTCTTCCAGCCCCAACCCTGTCCAGCTGAAGGATGCCGTTGTGCCTGTCCCCGTGGGAGTGCCAGTGCCTTATCTCCATGCACCCCTCGCCCGGACTCCACTTGAACTCTGGTGCCTTCTTCTTTGAGCATTTGGTTATGAAAAGATGTATTTTCCTGGACCTCTTCTAATAAATCAGTGGAGAAAGCCCTGGAGTGACATGGCTGTGTCCCCATCTCTGTCCCAGCACAAGAGAGGGGTCTGCCACAGAGAGAGGATTTGGGGATCCCTGGCTGGACAGCCAGGGGCTGTCTCATCCTTGGCTGAGCATTGTCTCATGACTGCTGGCTCGGCCCTGTGCCCACCTGAGCTCCTGCAAGAGCCTTGTGCTCCCTCACTGAGTGTTAATTAACCCCCTGCATGCCAGGACTGAAAGCTGGAGGGTGAAGCAGTTCTTCCTGCTGGCGATGTGTTTTAGATGGGTTTTAGGCATGTGGGTTAACCCCCTCCCAGGGTGATGACCTGCCCCAGGATCCTTCTTCAGCTGGGGCTTGGGGAACCTCCCCCTACACCTCTGGTGTTCCCAGGGCTGTACCCCTGGGTGCTGGCTGGGACTGAGCCAGTCCCATGTAGCCTGGAGTACCTTATTTGCACTCCCCTTCCTTCCCTGCTGCCTTGCCATGGGAGACCCCACCCTGGTCCACACAGACATCCCCCTTCCCCCAAAAAAGTAACACCAACAAAGTGCCTGTTCCAATTTCACTCTCTTTATTATTTATCATTCTTTCAAAATAGGATATGTTCAAAAATATAAATAGGTGCAGGGAACGCTGGTGCCCCGCACGGTCCCCTGGAAAGAGCACGTCGTCCTGGGATGGGTGCTGGGCTGCAGGGAGGGCAGCAGGGAAGCAGAGAGGGGCCACAGCCCCCAGTGCCCGGGTCCCGGGTCTCAGCATCCCTTCGCCTCCCTCCTCCCACAGATCCTTCCACTGCAGCCCCCCAGCCCTCCCCACCCACCCCAACGTGCTGCAGCAGTAGGAGGATTCTGGAAAAAAAAAAATAAAACCCCAAAAGGTGCTGTTCACCCCGGAGATTAAATAACAGAAATAATTACATTGTTCATGGATAAAATCAGGAAAAAATAATCATCTTTATTATTTAACTTAACCCCCTGCCCTCTGCAAACCCACCCCCCTCCCTGTCCCGGAAGGCACGAAGATAATTGGAACCGGACGGTTAGTAAAAATGCTGAGATCTAATTCGCTTTGCTTTGGTGCTTGGAAAAACATTAATTTTTTTTTTGTATATATACACAAAGGTGGGTTTGTCTTTAATATAATTTTTTTTCCTTATATGACAAAAAAGCAACAAGAAGAAGAAGAAATCGACTCTGTTAATATAACTGTTCCGTTAAAAATCTTTCTTTCTCGCTTTCCGCTCGGTCTCTCTTGCCCTGCTCTAATGGGTGGGTCTGTGCACGGCTCTGCCGCTGGATCTCGACCGGCTCCTGGGGCTCCTCTTGTATAGCCTGCGCTGGTAGTTGGAGGCTGCAGAAGAGGGAGGAGAAGAAAAGGCACCTTGTTAGCAGGAGCTGGGACAGAGACACCGCTTGTCCCGTGCTGGCTGCCCCGGCCTCTGGCTCGGCGGACGGCCGTGGCCAGCGCTGCCCGGCGGGTAGCTGTGTGTGCCCCGGCGCCAGCCTGCCCACCCCTGCACAATCGGCCCTTCTCCTGCCCCAGGGCTGAAGGTGCCCAGTGCCTACCGGGAGCCCGGGCAGGAGCATCCTCTCCGTGGATGCTTGTCCAACCCCTTCCCTGTGCTCAGCTGGGAGGGTGGTTGTTAACGTGGTGGGCATGGGGACCACTTGCCCATCTCACCCACTGCCCTACCAGTCCCTCCCCAGTCCTCTGGGACAGGGAGGGAAATATCCATCAGCGCTGGGATGTGCTTAGGGCACAGGAGGAGAGACAACCCTGGCTGGCTGACAGGGACAAGGTTTCTGTCTGATCTGTGCTGCCGGTCTCCCTCGAAGCCGGCACTGCTCCAGTGTGATAATTGCAGGAGGTTGTTGATGGAAGCAGCAAAAGCTGCTTGGGAACAGCCCAGGTCTCTTGGTTGCTGGTGGTCCATGCTGGGAGCAGCCTGCAGCTCTCGGGGTCTGCAGCAGAGCCAAGGGAATCAACAACTTGGTCTGCACCATGCGGCTGACCTTGGATACCTCCTCCATCCCTCCTCCTTCCATCTCCTCCCTGGGGCGGAGGTTTGTCCCTTAAGCCTGTATCAAATTTCCCTGGCCATGGGACCATTGCTTTAGATGGAATTGCCCAGCTGGACCAGGACCTGGCAAGGAGGTCACTGGACAGATGCGATTTGGCTGAGGCCGATTAAATTAATGGGAAGCTGCAGGCAAGCAGGGATTGGGACGGGGGTGTAGGCAGGCCTGGGAGTGGGCTGGGACGCCAGTAGGAGAGGACTGGCTGCCATCAGCTGGAGGCCTGACAGGAGAAGGCCCAGCCCTGTCCCTTGGCTTAGCTCTGCCACAGCGCTCCTGTCCGCTCTCAGGGCAGGGCGATGCTGGGGAAGGGCTCGGGGGAACCACAGCTCCCCGCTCCTATTCTCTCTGCTGATATAGCTGGTGCCAAAACTCACCCTTTCAGAAGCAGTTTCCTTTTCTTTCCTGTCTTTAAGTAGCCTGAGCCCTTGTTAAGCTTCTTGTTGCCCTATGTGGCTCTGGAGTTGCCCCTGCCCTACCTAGGTGGAGCAGGCTCCAGGGCAGGAATTGCCTGGGCTGCCCCTCCAGACAGTCCCTGTTGTCCCCACCTACCCAGGAGATGTCAGCTCCCATGGCCCCATAACGGGAGAGCTTTCAACAAGTCAGGGGGACCATGGTGTCCCCTTGTGCCTGCCTCAGAGCTCACCAGCACCCTAAGATGATACCCCCCTCATCCCTAAGCTCCTTCTCCCAGCTGCAGGGATGCATCAGCCCTAACCCAAAGATAAACGTACGGTTTGTGCAGGATATCCGTGGCTCCTCCCACTGCCCGTTGGGCTGGCATCGAATCGTGGGCACGTGGCGCTGGATGTAGCCTTGGCTGCACTGGTACCGCACCAGGGAGTTTATTTCATAGCGGTCCTTCTTCCGACCGAATGTCCTGGCATTCTCCACCACGGGGGGGTCCCCGCAGGCCACTGCAGGAGATGGGTAGAGACATGGAGAGCTCGTGAGTGGGTAGCTCACACCCGGGCAGCTCCTGCCTGCCTGGCACAGGCTGGGCACGCACAGCCTCGTCACTCCTCCTGCTCACAAAACCTTAAGTCCCTTTCAGATTACTTCTGTCCACAAAATACAGGGGCAGGAGGATATGGAAATTCTGTGATGAGCCTTGAAATTAAGCAGTGGTCTGCCTCAGGGCTCCATTCCTGCCTCCCGGAAAGGAAACAAGAGCCAGGCGTCACAACAGCTGCTTGTGGGAGGGCACGGAGCTGGTGTGCAGGAGTGACACCGCAGGCAGGGTATGGCTCTGCCTGAGGACATGAAACTCCATCCTTGTGGCTTGGATTATCTGTTTTCAAGCACTCAGGAAACTCTCCTAGAGACTTAGACAACTTCTACTGCTAATTCCTCCCACCTCTTTGACCACCCTTCTCAGCAACAAAACCCATGTCCATGTGCACTGGGGGCTCCACTCCAGCCCCTCAGTCACTGCCTGAGCCCCCCCATCCTTGTCAGTGCAGCGCAGGGTGCTGACCTGTTCCTTTTTTGCAGGTGAAAGGGAGGTGGTAGTTGCAGGGAACGTCATTCCATTCGCCTTGCTCGTGCCAGATCATCACAACGCAGTCCTCACCCGTCGCGAAGAAATTGTCAGGTTGGTTGGGCCGCCAGTTCTCAAATTGCTGCCAAGAGAGGGAAGCACTTCACCTAAGGCTGGGCCCTCCCCTCTCCTCCTCCCTCCATTCTTGCTGCTGCCTCCTCCATGCATGTCAGAGACCCTGGGTGGCCAGCACTGCTACTACAGCCGTTATTTTCTTCACAGTGGTGCCCAGGAGCTTAGTTGATCAGCTTTACTAGAGGCTTGGAAAAACCATGAGCCTTACAAAGCTTAGGGTTGCCTCCACTCGATGTCCAGCCCAAGCACTCAGCACGCAACTCACGGGGCTTTTGCCAACCAGGGGGAACCTCTTTCTCCCCACCGAATGCCCACGCCTGCCCATGCCGTGGGCTGCAGGCTCACCAGAGAGTGCCCGTCAGACCAGCGGAAGTCGTTCTCCACAGTTCTGTCACTGAGGCCAATCCACTGGTAGTCTTGTGCATGGCCTGGAAGAGGTAGAAGAGGAGAGAAGAGTGGGTCATGGTTCCCTTACACCTTGTTGGAAGGACTTCTTTGCCATCACAGATGTCTCTGACCCTGGAGCCTTTGGGTCATTTGTTCCCCTTCCCATTCTCTAGCCCCTGATGTCCTTTTTTCCCCGCATCATGCTTGTCCATCTCCCTCCCCAGTCAGTATGGATCCACCCACATATGGATCCGCATAGGTCACTGTGCTTATTGCATCAAGTGAACATCTTGTGAACATCTTGTGA